TATAGATATATATATATATATAGAGAGAGAGAGAGAGAGAGAGAGAGAGAGAGAGAGAGAGAGAGAGAGAGACTTCGTAGACTAGCCTTGCTGAGTAAAAGTAATGGAGTATGAAATGATCCATTATGGTTTGAAGCCAAGTTACATCGATCAAACAAACCCTTATTCTGTACAAGATAAAGTTTCCAATGACATCGAAAGATTTCTCCAACTGGAGACAGATTTTATGGACCTCGATTTCATTGACGAAGACGCTGTTTTAGGGCTTGACGAGAATGATCAAGAAACTACATTACTGGCTGCTGCTGCCGGGGAAGAAATCCTCCACAATGTAGAAATTCAAGAAGATGGTTTGGAGGGCTGCAGCTTAACTGACTTACTACTACTGGGAGCAGAAGCTATTGAAGCAGAAAACTGGATTCTTGCTTCATCAGTGGTGACAAAACTGAATAATCTACTTTCTGATCAAGAAAATGGAGACAACCCTATTGGAAGATTGGCTTTATATTTCACCGAAGGCCTTATTTACAGGAGTCTTGATTTTCCTGAGTTGCTGGAGGATACATTTGGTGGAAAATCTAATCATAACACGCTTTCTGCGTTCCAAATGCTTCAAGAACTCTCTCCTTGTGTGAAATTTGCACATTTCACAGCGAATCAGGCTATTCTGGAGGCGACACGGGGCCATAAGGAAGTTCATGTTATAGACTTTGATATCATGGAGGGAATTCAGTGGCCTTCTTTGATGGTTGATCTTGCAGGTACAGAAGATGCTTCCCTTAGAATCACAGCAATATTTACTGACCATACAAATATAGGTAATATTCAACAGACGAGATTGAGATTGCAGGATTTCGCGAATTCAATTAATCTTCCATTCAATTTTGATCATGTTTTCATGACGAGAGAGGAAGATTTTGAACGAATTAAGGTGGAAAATAGTACTGTAATAGCCAACTGTATGTTGCATCAGCTCCACATGCCACATAGGGACAGTGCAATGGTCAAGACATTCTTAAAAGGTATAAGAAAGCTACGTCCTAAAATTGTCATTTTAGTAGAGGAAGAACTTTTCAACTTAGATAAAGTTCCATCAATGTCTTACGTGGAGTTTTTCCGTGAGGCCCTCCACCATTATGCAGCTGTTTCTGATTCGCTTCAGTCTGGTTTCTGTGGAGGTTTCAAATTAGCCGTAAAAATCATAGAGCGCGAATTCCTTAGGGCAAGGATTTTAGATAGTGTGAAGCAGTTTCCTTGTGAGCAAAGGGAAAGAGAACTAT